ACAAAATTCCTTAGGTCTGCTTTACTCAATAGAATTTATCTGAATAATTCTGTACCGCTACAATATCTGCCGCTGTCTACCTCTGGCGTCCGATCCGTAGCCCGTTTTCTTAGGGTACTGCTCCGGTTTCGCCTGGTGTTGGTCGGAAAAACACGGAAAACTACCGATCAGCCGGTCGCTGTCATTCTTATCCAGTCAGGGCTGAATTAAACATTGCTATGTGCATAGCTGGTGGCAAAAATCCGCCGCCTCGAACCCAGGACCTGTTGGCTAGAGTCTGTGAAGAGAGCAGCAAAACAGTAGAATCCCGCAAATCAAACCCGATTAAATCAAACTCGACCGAAGCCATGAATTTTTAGGGCGAACATATTCTTTGTAAGCCTTCTTTCGGAGGGGGAGTAATGCCGGCTGTCCCGTGTTTGTAGATTTACTGCATGTAAAAGATCAAGCATAAATGAAGCTTCTGAGCTAAATTCAAATCGCCTTTTTGTCACCCAAGATATACCTCCTTTCTCTGCAAGTTGATGAAAAGAGAGTAACGAAATTTGTGTGGACAGGCGAAAGAGCACTTTTCATGGTTTGAGTTTCGTCATGCAAAAAAGAGTTCAATTCAATTCGCAATTTCGGATTATCCGAACAAAATTGGGGTTGGAAGAACAACACCTGGTTTGTATTAACTTAATTTATGAATGAAAAAGCGTGAACACCGTGTAAGTCAACCCAATTCTGAATACTGAACGTTGAATATCCGTTAACAGAAGCGACACAAACTGTGGTTCAACACTTCTAAACAATGTAGCAGCTATTACCGCATGCGATCGGTTAAGTACGTACCGTTTTCCGTTGCTCGCAACATTGCCACTTCCGCTGGTCGCTATGTTACGTTGCGATTTTTTCACATCGGACGCAACGTTGCATTGTGTCTGGTAATCATATAGATGTATTTGTATATGTACTGTACATGTTTTTTGGATAATACGAATATTTCCGTAAAGAAACAGATCACACGCCCGCCCAATTAGTTCGGAATACCGGAGTTCTACTGCACTGGCTTCTACCTAAACGTAGCTGGATATTTTCTTAGGGATGTCACGTTTCCCCTGTTTCTCATTTCACCATTTCTCCACCTTCATTCACCACATCATTATCGCTACCTTACTTTTGGCTATCGATCATCGCTATCACACTCGGATCTTTCAAGGATCTCAATGTCCGCACTCATTGACAGGTGCTTAAATACCAATAAATTATAGTTCCTAGCGTCATTGGTCGTATACAGAGCCAATAACCAACCGCCTCTGTTATTTGCTGTTTTCGGTCATGTGTCATTCCGTTCGGGGATACAACCTTCCAACAAGAAATTAACAAAAAACAATTCTTGGAAAAATTAATATTAACAAAAAACAATTCTTGGAATAAGTGTGCTCGTACTCTATACAACTAGATCAAACTTTTTTTGTTAGGATTTTTTAACGGTCGGCGGACTGTTAAAACCTTTAACGGACGCCGGCCTTTATGAGTAGCTTTTCGTTCCTCTGTTTGGATGCATTGCGTCGGTGTAACAGTACAGTATTACGAAAATAAGTAACTTACGAGTGTAATCTGAATGCAGTGTGTGCTTGTGTGTTGCAGGCGTACAGACGGCGTACTTGGCCATCCTGGGCGGGCAGGCAGCTGTGGGGTTGCTGAGCGCGTTGCTGCTCTGGGCCATCTACAAGGTGAGCGCTGCTCTGCGGCTGTCTCAACTCCCCCCGCGCCGGCGCTGCACGCCACCGAGGGAACACAGGCGTTTTATACAAATGCCAAAATTGAATTTACAATATTGTTAAAATTAGACGAAGCTAGTTTCTTACTAATTGCGGTTTCTGGGGTTTGTAACGAGAACTTCCTAACGATGTTCAGAGGAAACAAAGTGTTTCACAAATAAACAATACTAACCGCTGGCTTACCTGAATCCAGCAGCAGCATACTTCTTAATTATTTTGATAATAAACTCACATATTTCCAATACTATTACAAATGTATTATTGAAATGTACCAAAAGAATGTTTTTTACAGGTTCAAAGTGACAGAAAACTATGCCTTCACTCAATCACAATTGAAACTTCATAAAATAAATAATATAAAATATTATTAGATTATTGTACTGATTAATCAATGCCAAAAATACTCGTATATTCTGAACAACTTGTATTAACTAATCTTAATTTAATTCAGAAAATATCACAATATCTTTAACAACTATTATCCTTATAACTTTCAAAACAACAACTTTTAAATTCTATTTTTCAATGCCTAGTAACAAATAAAATGGGGCATATCAGATAATAATATTCATAAACGACCTAACTAAAAAATTCATAACTTTTATCTTGGTGATTCATTTCTGGTTACCCCGTCTCAGTGAAGTCTCAGTGACCGCGGCTCATGTAAGAATTGCCTCAGAGCTTCCGTGATGTAGCATCATGCCGGCTCATGCAGAAAGCATTTTCAGTGAGGCCAATTGGTGCGAATCCTCAAATTTAATACTTTTGAAATTTTTTTCGCATTGAATTTTTTTTCTTGATTGATTGATTGATTACTACTGGTTTTTTGCACGTCAACGGATAAGGTCAGTAGTCCCGTATGTGTGGTGTTAGTTTTTTGCTCGGGAGGTGGCGGTGATCTTGCCCCGCTGGATGGAGAGATCCGCCGCCGACTTGCCGTCGGCGGGCAAGGTTTTCCCCAACCAGGTATCTTCCGCCAGCGGAGCACCGCCCCAGTCGGGACAAGCTCTAATGTCGCGACTGGTAATTGTAAGCGTGTGCAAAATGTGAGGATAGGACAAGAAATGGGAAGGAAAGATCGCGTGCGGACCATGAACCGTATGCTAGGGTACTGCTCTGCATTCGCCTCGTATTGATCGTAACCACGGGTAACTTCCGGTCGGACCAGCCGGCCGCTAGAGTTCTTCTCCAGATAGCGACAAAACCCCACCTATATATCTGGCTTTTTTTTAAAAATTTCATTTCAAGATTACATGGTTTAGTTATTGCCTATCTGTCGAGTGCCGAAAGTTCTGGCACCGTCGGAACACGAACCCCAAAACCTCTCGATCAGAGGTACTTCAGTGACCTCGGTTGCTGCCCTGAGCCACCTCTCCGGGTTACTCAATAGAAATAGGCCGTCGTTGTATGTAATGTGGTCAAAACTTATTAATTTAACTCTTTGAATAAATTGAGTGAGATGCGTCCGTGGATCTACATGATAAATATTCCACAGCGCTACCTACCCTTTTGGTTATTCTTGATCTTTTTATTTCTTCCATCATGGGAGAATTGTCGACACTTTTCCTGAAACACTTGGCCTCGGCATTAAATCATATAAATATTATAATATTACACGATCGAAATATTATTATTACATAATTAAAATAATATGATTATTATATTATTATAATATGATTATTATTTATATCCATTTTATAGTATATAATTATATATTATTTTATATAATCACATATATTTTTTTAAATGTATTAAAATTAAATGTGGTGTATATTACTACAAAAAACATGAGTTATAGGCATTCTTACTTTTGAAACTATATTTGTACTATACAAATATCAAAAATCCGCTGTTTTCCCTCAGAGTTTTCTGTTACTCAACGTCCGTGAGATGCAGAATAGAGGTGCGTCCGCAAGAATATTGCTAAGTGAATTCATGTTGAGATAAAATTTTATAATGTAATTTACGTTGTGGAAGAACTTTCTTTATGTTTATTTGTTGTCTGTGTGCTATTTGCTATAAATATTAATAGTATTATATCTTTGTTCCAACATAAACATCACAATGCCTCTTTTTCTGCGAGCGAGAAGAAGAGAAAGAAGAAGAATTTAGGGGAAATAAGGGAGAGAAGAAGAAAGAAAGAAAAAGAGGAGAAAGAATATGTAAAATATTATGATTTAGCGTAATATTGTATGATCTTTATTTACGAATCATGTATCCTTCATATTCACTAGATTCGCATATGCACCCCGGCACCGCTGGGTCACATCAGGTAGTGAATAATAAACCTAAAATATTACTTGCAAATATTTTAATATATATAAAACAAATCGTTTTGATATCTGACAAATTCATGTAAAAAAGTGAATACCCTATTTACGATGACCTATTACTTTCAGGTCTTCAAAATAAACGAAATGAAAGGGTAGAATTTTCTGCGACGTTTAACGTACATCAAAAAATTATCAAAAATGCTTCTCGTCACAATTAATTATTTTTCTTAAGGTCTACATTTCTAAAAGACGAAGCATCATATAAGTCTCAACTGTAGTCTAATATTTCAAAAGACACCCATACTAGCAGTTCCAAACTAAATATTATCTAAATTTTTCAAAATGAAATACAACAAATTATTGATATTACAAGTCAGAGTATGTATTATTTACTGCATTATTTA